AAATAAATAAATAAAATCTTAAAAAAAAAAAAAAAAGTCCTGAATCAGACAGTGTGCCCACTCCCCACCACACCCTCTACTCCAACCCCACTTTACAGCTTCTAGCTTCCTGGGTACCCAAGCTGCAATTTGGGCCTGTGCCTGGGAACACCCTTGCCTCTCCACCCCCCTCATCTTTCTGGCTCCCTCCCTGTCTCTCCTGGATCTGCCCTCCAGTTCCCAAACTGCCCCAGGGCACCTCTCTGCATTACTACACTGATCTGTGACTTCGTATCTACAGACCCTCCTCCCCTACCAGCCTGAGCTCCCTGACCCCGGAAGATCTAATACAGACAGGTGTGACACATGAATAAATAATTCAGTAGCCAGAGCAGGGCAAAGAAGCATTTCACTCAATTGACCCCTCAACTCTAGACCTGCCCCCGGACATTTCAGCACATAGTGGTGGGTCAGTCAGAGACCACCCTCCTCACCTCTTTACTCAGTAGCCTATCTGCCTCTGTGCTCTTTTTTAAGTTTCTTCTTCCCTCTTCCCCCTCCTTGCTCTGAATCCTGCTCCCATAAGACCCCTCCAGGGCCTCTCTTATGTTTGCCTTCCTCCCCATCCTGCAGGGAGCTCCCTGAGGAAAGAAATCGCATTTGATCAGTCTTGTGTCCTCAGCCCCCTCATGGCCACATTTGATAAATGCTGGTTGAATGAATGAGTGCCCAGCTCCTTACTCTACCTGATAAAACCAATGAAGGCAGGATCCATTCTCTTAAGTACCCAACCACTTGAGACCATTGTGGGCCAGTTCTGTGCCAGGCACTAAACCAGGTGCTTCTACACACACCTGTCCTCATTCTCTACCCTCCCTCCCCACTCACCCTAGGTGTGAGCACTTTCCTGAATGGCCTGTTGGCCTCCCCCTCAGCATCACCTGCTTTCCACCTGTGTGCTTATAGACGCCCAGCCCAGCTGCTCTTCCCCAACCAAAGTATAGCCCTGGGTGCTGAGCATTTACGGACTCTATCTCACTTAATCCTAACAGCTCTATCAAGTGGGTGGGCATACTACTATCTGAAGAACTCGAGGCCTTGAGAACTTCGGTGATAAATCCAAAATCATACTTCTAAGTAGCAAGGCCAAGATTCAAACCAGGTGTGCCCAAACCCCAAGGCTCTCATACAAATAACCACTAGCCGAAACCATCTGGATGTCTCAAGCACTCTAAACTCACAAACCACAGCTGAACACCAGGATGCCTGTTGGCTAAAATGGAGAAGAGTGGACCTTTCTCTTTCAGTCTGTATTTCACAGAGCTCACTCTCTCAGTAATTTACTGCTGTCCACCTAGTTGAAATGGCCGGAAGGCTGGGCGTCACCTGGGTCTCTACTTCACTCCCCAAACACATCCAATCTGAAAACCAGTTTTGTGGATTCTGCTCTAAATATCTCTTGACTCCATCTCCTTCTCCACATTCCCATTATCACAGCCTGAGTTCTGACCACCATTATCTCTTACCACAAAGGTATCCTTCCAGTCTTGCCTCTGCACACAGCACCGTGACAGTGCTCTCTCTAAAACATGTATCTCACAACATCATTTTCCAGTGACTTCAGGATAATTTGTCCTCAGGATAACTTCCAGATTCTTTACCTTTGCTTGAGGGCACTTATGCTCTCTAGTCACTAAGCCTTGGCATATGCTGTTCCTCTTGCCTACAACACCCTCTTGTCCTTATTTCTATCTCCTGAATCCTTCTGGCGATCTTCTTTGAGCACACCTTCCCGCCAGTGGGCTAGTTACCCCTTCAGTGGATGCTTCCACGTCCTGAAATTAACTTTAGCAATTAACACACTGCTTTGTAATTGCATGTTCACTTGAATCCCTACCTCACTAGTCAGTGTCACCATCAACTTGTTCAATCTTTTATCTACTAAACAAATATATACTAGCTGTTAACTGCGTGCCATAGTTAAATGCTTACATACACGATACAGACCCGTACCTTGCCCTGGAAAACAGAAACCCTATCTTCTCTTCTGGCGTCTAGGTATCTATCAGCAGGAGACTCAACAGGTTTATTGAATGAGCGATGGAACGCGCTTGCGTGAGCCCGTGGTGCCGCGCGTACTTCTGGGAATCGTAGTCCCCAGGTTCGGGCCTCTCTTTATGGCGCAGGCGTATTCAGATTGAGACCGTTTTACTATTAATGCGCATGTCCCGGGAGGCGGAGTGGTGAACTGCGCATGTCTAAGGGGTGGAGGTGCGGGCGAAAAGGCGGTGCACTGCGGAGGTGGGGCTTCGGTGACTTCGGGCCGTCGCGGACCTGCCTGCGAGAATGGCGGGTAGGGGGAAGCTAATTGCGGTGATCGGAGACGAGGACACGGTGACTGGCTTCCTGCTGGGAGGCATAGGGGAGCTTAACAAGAACCGCCAGCCTAATTTCCTGGTGGTGGAGAAGGATACAACCATCAATGAGATCGAAGACACTTTCCGGTACGGTAGCCCGCGAGGCCTGAATGGGACCCTCTGCCTTGGGTGGGAGCGCGGGGAGTAGGCGGGAGCGGCGCGGGGACCCGGCGGGCGGGGCCTGCGCTGGGCTTCCAGACCCCGATGTTGAGGGTCAAGGAAGTCGGTTCGGCCGCCCTTCCGGAGGAAGCCTCTGTGTTCCAAGTTCGCTTCTGGGGCTTGGGGGAACCCGGGCTTTGTCAAGTCCACGAGCTCATCTCTCACATGACTGTGTGTCAGGGAAGAAGGGGAACAGAGCTCATGACGGGCGCCGCCCCTCGGCCCAACCTGCCGCAGGGTCAGCTTCGCCCCCGTTCACCTGTAGAGCAGACCCCCAGCATTGCTAGCACTCGGCTCTTGTGGATTGACCCCTAAAGGAACCACACACTCATGGGAACACCTAGGCGGTGGGGTCGGGCTTTCTTGTATTTCCATGTCCCTTAGAGGCTCACAACCATCCTGTAAACTAGGGGTTATCATTCCTCTTTACAAGAGAGGTTAAGGCACGTACCAAAGTCACAACATTTGGAAGAGAGGGAGAGGGGATTTGAACCCAGTCCCAACTCTCTTAAGCCAGGTCCACGCTTTGCTTGTACAGTTCTCTCTCTCTTAGAATTTCCCATTGTCCTGAGCACAGCAGGCAGAATATTAGGACAGTATCCTAGTTTCTGCTAAGACCTTGCATTTGAAGTCCTCATTTCTTCCCCTGGGTCACGAGTGATAGCTTCATAGTGTGAATCCAGGCATGTTCCTTAATCCAGGAGGTGTCCTGGTGACTTGAAGTGAGAATGCCAGCCCCCTATGCTTTCTCACCCCTTTTCTAAGGCCCCTGTTGCCAAGTCTCAGGGACGAACCATGCTCACCTGTTTTCCCCTACACAGTCCAGCCCTGAGCTGCGGGCTGAGACTGGTTCCTGCTGCCTGGGGTATGGGAGGCCCTGAACTGGCCTGATCTCTAAGCATTCTGGTAAAGTGACCCAAGTTGTCATGGGAGAAGGACAGAGTTTACTCCAAGAACTTTCCATGTTTCTATCCAAAGGGACCCAGAGATCATCAAATCTAACCTGCTCTAGTGCCTGGCACAGAGCAAGCGCTCAATAAAATTGATTTTTAATATTTTACTTAATGCATGGGTGATCACAAAGAAGGGAGAGCGCAGTGCTAGGCTCTCTCTCTGGGGGAAAGTATGATTTTCCTCCTCTTGTGTTGTATTCTTGGCTCACACCAAACTTCCCCCCGATCCATCCCCCACCCTCATCAGCATAGACCTTAAAGCCTTTAGTGGTCTCATCAGCCCCCTTAAAAAAAATTTTTGTTTCGTTTGAAAAGTTAAAGTATTCATGTGGTTTGCAAATTAATATTTAAAAGGTATAAACATTGAGAAGTCTCACTCCCATCTTCCCCCCCCCCCGTCTTTTTCCACTTCATTACCTCCCTCCTCCACTCCTGTAAACACTTAATTGCTTATTTGCCTTTCTGCTTTTTCTTCATGTACATACAAAGGGACAGGCATGCATATTCTTATCCTCTTTGCAACATACAGAATACACCAGCATGTGCCCTAATCTTCAGCACCAATTCACTTGGGAGCCTTCCAAGCAGGGGAGGGAGAAGCCAACCCTGACAGCCAGGGCCTTTAGGTTTTTGAATTTGATCCTGGTTAGAAACTCTCCAGAGTTTAGCTGGCAACCTTTGCCCTTGAACTCTGCGGTTTCTGGGTCAAGCCCATTCCCCTCTGCAGCCCAGCCTCAGCACCTCTGAGTGGACTGTCCTCGAATCCCTTCTCCTCTCTCCCAACAGGCAGTTTCTAAACCGGGATGACATCGGCATTATCCTCATCAACCAATACATCGCAGAGATGGTGCGGCACGCACTCGACGCCCACCAGCGCTCCATTCCAGCCGTTCTGGAGATCCCGTCCAAGGAGCACCCCTATGATGCCGCCAAGGACTCCATCCTGCGCAGGGCAAGGGGCATGTTCACGGCTGAGGACCTGCGCTAGGGCCCTCCCCACAGCCATGCAGCCTCTCGCCAGGCTTGCCATCAGCCCTTCTCTAAGTTGTGAGCCTCTGATTTCCAGTTCCCAGCCCCCTGTCCCTTCCCATTCCACTGAGAGCCTAGGTGAGGTGCTTCCATGTTGCTGGGGCTCTGCCATTAAAGTCAAGGCTGCTTAGGGAACAGGAAGCCCGAGTGTCTTCTCTCCACTACCCCTCTGTGCTGTTACACAGTGTCATTGTTGATGTTAAATTAAAGTAATGTTCTTGTTTCTCTCCAAACTGAGGCTGGGTGCTACAAAGGACACGCATGGGATGAGGCGGTTGGGGGGATTAGATTGGCAGGGCCAGAAATGGTTCTGCCAAAGATACGGGCATAGAAAAGTTGGACCAGAAAGATGGTGCCAGGAGGTTGTGACTCAAGGATGGGTCCTTTGAATCAACAGCGACCAGCTCTGGTCGGGAGGAATGGGAGGAGGTTTGTGCCCAGGCCCTTGGCTCCCCCACTTCAGTCTCTCTGGGGCTGGGAAGGGACCTGACCCGAAGGGATGGAAGCAGAAACACAGGAAACCTAGAAGCCTGTGATACCAGACCGAGCCGGGGTCCTGCAAGAGGTTTGGAGATCAAGGCTCTTAGCTGGTGGGCCCTGGCCTGAGGTTGCCTCTGGATCAAGGCATGTGAGGTCTGCCAAAGGCATGGCAAGTAGAACCCTGGCCCTGTGTGAGGTGAGGCTTGGTTGCCAGGTGACTGTCCGTGGCAGCCCCCTGCTGCCAGAAGGACGCTGCTTGCTGTTGCTCAGCCCTCAGCTGCAGCCACCCTGCCCCTTCCCTGGCTACCATGTCGCGGCAACTCAACATGGATACGCTGCGGCAGAACTTCTGGAAGGAGGAATATCTGCGGGAGAAGATGTTGCGCTGTGAATGGCACTGCAAGTATGGGTCGATGGTGAAGGCCAAGCAGAAGGCTAAGGCTGCAGCGCGCCTACCCCTCAAACTGCCCACCCTGCACCCCAAAGCCCCACTCCCGCCTCCACCTGCCCCCAAGGCAGTGCCTACCGAGGCCCCCAGCCCTGCCGCGGAGACTCCTGTTCGGTCAGAAATGCTGCCGGTCCCGCCTGCCACCCGGGCCCTGCTGTATGAAGGCATCTCCCACGACTTCCAGGGCCGCTACTGCTACCTCCACGCCCGAAAACTGCACCTGCCAGAGATGCGCTACCTCTTCCCCATCACCACCAGCTTCACATACGGCTGGCAGCTGGGTGAGCCCCAACCTCTCAAATCACTCATCTCACGGACACGGAGCCCCTGCCCTGAGCCAGGCCGTGCCGTCAGCACTAGGCACACAAGACGTGGATGGGGTTGTCCATTTTAGTTGGGGGGGTCTAGGCCGTAAAGAGGACCCGTCTGATAAGGACAAGTTCCATGATGAGACTAGGGAGTGATGGGGGAGATGGGCAAGGGACGTGTGAGGCTTTAGACTGGATGGTCAGGAAAGGCCTCTCTGGGGACCCAACGGTTGGAAGCTAAGTGACACGAAGGAATTTGGATTCCAAGTGGGAGACGAAGCCACGGAGCGTTTTAAGCCGGTCAGTGGTACTGGTTGGGTACTAACTCTTCTGTAAGTAACGGGTTTTTCAGGGAAAGAGTCAACTCTGGCAGCTGAGGTCTGCATCTGTGTTGGGTCATCCTGGCAGGAGAGGACGGTGGCTTGGGCTAGGGTGATTAGCGGTAGAGCCGAGGGAGATTCAGGCTATGTTTTGGAGGAGGAATGAATGAAGCCTACTGATGGACTGAATGAGCGAAGGGGAAAGAAGACCGTGGTGAAGCCCCAGTGTTTGGCTCAAGCACCTGGACAAGAAAGATGGAGAGGAGCAGGGTTGGGCGGGGGGGGTGTGAGGACAGGTCAGCCCTGACCAGGCTGGAGGGGCCAGCGAGGTGGCTGTGTATGGAGGTCTCCCTGTGGAGTGAGGTCAGAGCTGAAGATGCAAACTTGGGGGTCATCAGAATGTAGGTGCTATTTATTTATTTATTTATTTATTTATTTTAAAGATTTTATTTTATATTTATTTGACAGAGAGAGACAGCGAGAGAGGGAACACAAGCAGGGGGAGAGGGAGAAGGAGAAGCAGGCTTCCCGTGGAGCAGGGAGCCTGACGCGGGGCTCGATCCCAGGACCCTGGGATCATGACCTGAGCCGAAGGCAGACGCTTAACGACTGAGCCACCCAGGCGCCCCTGTAGGTGCTATTTAAAGTCTGAGGTCGGGTGAGCTCACCCAGGGAACTCCAGATGCTGGAATCTGACAGGAGAGGCAGGGGCACAGAGAGGGGTAGGGAGATGGTGTTGGTGGGAAGGCTGTCCCTTCTGGACCGAGTCTGCTTTTTCTGTGAGGCTGAGAGTCGAGGTCATCCTCTGGGGTGGGGGTGGGGGGCAGTGGTGTAGTTGGAGATACAGAGTTAAATGGCATAGGAAAGGGAACACGCCTGGGAGTGTTGCGGGATTGCTGGGCGATGCTGTGTCCCTTGCTCCTTGTGCTCATGAATTGTGAACGAGGCTACTCAGTCATGGGTTTTTCTCCCCACGCTTGAGTGCCTGGGCGGGAAAGGCAGATGGTTGGGGATAAACACAGTTGATGTTTTTGCCTAAAAATTTCCCCCATTTTCTACAGGGTCCTAAAGGGAGGGGAAAAGAGGAATTTTCCCAAAAAAGCAGGAAGCAAGTCCCAGAAGAGCAGGAGGTAGAAGGAAGCCCTCTCTCCCCCAGGGACGTCTAGCTCTGTCTGGTCCTGTGACCAGCCGTGCTGGGGGTCCCACCACCCGCTCTGTGGAGTCTGCGGTGGCGGAAACGATAGCAGGGGGCGGACTGACCAGTCCTGCCGTCACTGCTGCTCTGGACCCCCAGCCAGCTCCCTGTTTGCCCAGGCTGGTGTTCCTCAGAAGCACCTTTTATTCTTCCACACTTCCAAAGTGGATACAGTACAGGCAGATTCCTAGGGCTCCGTAGACAGGGCTCCCGTGGTTCCCTTTCCCAGGACCCATTCCTGGCCTCTGACATCTTTCCACAGGCCCCCCAGTGAAGCAAGAACTGGTCTCCTGTAAGATGTGCCGCACTGAATCGTTCTTCCGAAAGAATGGGGCCTTCTCGCTGCTTGACCCTCAGGACCTGGCGCTCTGACGTTGGCGGGGCAGCGGACTTAGGGGAGGAAAGAAGAAATAACACGCCTCCTGGTGGGGCTGAAGCTGCGGCGTGTGTCTGTGTGTCTGGCCTCCGAGGCCCTGAGGCAAAGTTCTGGGCCTTTCTTGGAACTACCTCTGTTCTGCCCTTGCGGGCCTGCGGGTCGCGGGCTTGCGTTTTCCTTTGAGCATTCAGCAGTGACGCGAGGGGGCCGGGAAGGGTGAGCGCTCCTCTCCAGCCCAAGGCTCCTCGGCGCCAGGGGGCCACAGGAGCTGCTGGAAGTTCTGGGTGTTCCTGGAAGAGAGAGGCCTGTCATCCCAGAGAAGGGGACCCACTCCCGCCCGGTCGGCCTCCCCGCCCTCCCCCCTCACCTGGCCCCGAGGGCCCGCAGCCGCCACGTCCTCTCCCGGAGCGCTCGCTGCAGCTGCTCCCGCAGGGCC